TGATAGACCATTTGTTCCATTTATCGGGGTCAATCATCATAAGCAGACTCTTTTGTTCGGAGCTGCTATCTTATATGATGAAACCACTGAATTTTTAAGTGGCTTTTTGAGACTTTTCTTGGAATAATGTCTGGAAAACTACCAAAAACATTTCTTATAACCAGTCTGCAGCAATAGCGAATGGAACAATGAAGGTGTTTTCAGAAACAAAACATAGATTATGTGTCTTGCATATTTACCAAAATGCTGCAACGAATTTGAGTCGTGTGTTTTGACGGGCCAGACCAGTTTGCCATGGATTTTGGAAAATGTGTATATGACCATGAGGAAGAAGAAGACTGGTTATTGGCGTGGAGTGATATGCTCAACAAGCATAAACTGACAGAGGATAAATGGTTGAAGAATTTGTTTGAGATGAAAGAAAAATAGGCAATGGTATATGGCCGTCATACTTTTACAGCTGATATGGTGAACACACAACGTAGCGAAAGTATGAATAGTATTTTGAAAAGATACTTGAAGTGCAGTTTTGACTTGTTGACCTTTTTAAACACTATGAGAGAGTGTTGGATGATAGATGATATAAAGAATTAGTTGCTAACTTCGGTATGATGCACACTTCGCTGGTATTAGTTGCTTATGTAGAGATGTCGCAACATGCATAATAAGTGTATACACCAGAAGTATTTATCTTGTTCCTAAAGGAATCCACAGTCAACGGTGATTATGTTGCAAAAAAGACCAGTAAGTCTGAGATGGTGTATGACTACAATGTATCTTATCGTGGTGCTGCACAAGAGCATTTGGTTAAGTATGATGTTGCAAACCAAACGATACAATGTAGTTGCATGAAGTTTTCATTTGCTGGGATCTTATGCTGTCATGCATCGAAAGTGTTAGACAAAAGAATGTTAGAAGAATTCCACCTGCTTACATTCTGAATCGATGGAGTAGAAAAGCAAAAGCATGAACCATATCTTGTTATCATTCAGAGATACCTAATGAAGAAGTGAAGCAATTGATTGGAAAGCGATATAGTCATATTTGTCGTACTTTCCGTGAGATTGCATCTATTGCTGCTGAACATATAGTACTCACATTGTGTGTTGATGAAGATGCGATTGAGTTGCTTAAAAAACTGGAGGAAAAGAAAAAGGAACTTGTGAGAGCTAATAAATGGATGCCTCATAGTTCAGAGGATAAACTTATCGAGGAAGAAGACAACAAAGACGTTCAAAGTGTACGTGGACTAAAATAAAAAATCCTGTTAGGCGACCTAAGAACCAAAAAGATGGATCCCATGGTCCATTTAAAGTTGTTCTCGAAAAACAAAATCGTGATATATCAAAATCATCAAGTAAGGCTAGAGCAAAGAAAAAGTTATCTTTCCAGGTATTTGATATATATTATTAGTTATTAGTTTGTCAAATTTTCATCAAAATTTGACTTAATCAATATATGTATGGTCCAAGAAGCAACTCCTAGTCACAATATAATACCCAATTATCTTTTGCTACCACCGAGCCGATCTTACATAATGGACCATTTTTCTCTCAAGTACCTCAGGTAAAATTTAATTATGTCTAGTATTTATAATTTAATTATATGTCAATAATCAAAAATTTTATAAATTATTCAGGAACCAACTCCTATTTTTGGTACATGGTTATTTGTTCCTGTCACCAATCCGACATTACATAGTGGAACATTTTTCTCGCAATTACTCCATGTAAATATTTCATTCTATATGTTTTTTTTGGAACACTCATTCTATATGTTATTTATAATTAAGTTATATGTCTTTTTAAAATAGATATTCTTTTTTTTTTCATGATCCACGACTTCGAAAAGAATTATGCTGACAGTTCATCGAAGGACTTCGACAAGAATTATGGCGATGATTCATAGGATCGTATGTTCTTATTCATTTTTATATTTTTGAATACAAGATGTTTTGGACAAGATCGGGTATTACTTATTTGACCAATGCATACATGTGATCATCTTCGAACTCTCTATGTTCTTTGAGCTTTTAGTACAAATAGACTAACAGTTTTGATACTCTAGCGAATACCAACCTTTTTGCAAAAGGATTACCAAGCTTTAAAGCAACATAGAGATAATGATCAAAGGAAAGGGGTTTGATAGTTACTTAGTTGTCGAGTACGTTAGAGCCTCCAAAATTAAAGTTCAACTTCTTATAATTATAGCTGTATACAAACGTGCGAGTATCAGACTCTTTATTTCTATTTTTTCTCTCTCCCATATATAAACATGATTCTAGTGGAGGTGGAGATGGGTTGGATTTTCTTTGTGGCTGTAATTTGGCAGTGTTGAAAAGTCCACTCTCTTGATGATGTTAACTGACACACACTCTGAAGCAGCCTCATATGAATTCACAACACTTACAGCTGTTTCTCCCTCTCAGTTGTGCTTCTTCTTTTCTGTTTGGTGTCTTCTTTGTTCACAACCTTCTTATTTCCGGTTCCCTTGACCTCAAGCTTAACTTATCTGAAAAAAAAAAGCTTAACTTATCTGTTTTTAGTCATTAGATCTTTTTGGTACTCAACTTCTGTTACAAAATTTTGCTTCTCAAAGTCCTGGATCATGTGATCAACCTTTTGATCAACAAGCTTAGTCTCTCTCTTGACAATTAATCCATGATTAGCTTCTCTGTTTTTAATTTAAAATCTTAGTTCTAATTTAGAAAATCATGCGCATGGTTTTCTGAATTAGTGAGTATCGACCAAAATAATACCAAATCATGGACATTTAATAACTTGAATTTTCTGAATATAAAAAGCCTAGAGAAGAAAGAAGGGTAGTCATCCACCATCATTTAAAAGTGCTTTCTAAAATAACATTATTTTAATATTGTTGTATAGCACTTCTGAAAATAAAAAAATATTCACAATAATAAAAGTATAAAATATAAAAGGTTTTTCATATTTTACAATGTTTTTTATATTTTTATAATTTATTGATATAATAAGTCTTGTGATGTAATTAATGTAATTAGCCTTGTGATGTTAGCTACATAACAACAAAATAGTTCATGGATGTTAGCTTCCATACCATATATCGTGTAGTTGACTGTACATCTTTTTATTTTGCATGGTCAGTTATGTATTGGTCGATACTTTAAGTAGTTAGCAATCTTTTTTTTCAATTAAAAAATGTGAGAAGTTGTTAAGAAAAATAAATGCAAAATAATTAATATCAGTTATTCTTGTAATATCTAAAGTAAATTTTTTTTTCGAATAGTAACTAGAAAAAAATCTATTGTGTTTTAAGTTATCTATCTATAATACTAAAAGGAGGATATGACACCATCTTAGCGCGTCCACGTCAACTGAGAAAATCAGCCAATAGAAAATTAGCCAATGAGAGCATCTGATTTTGCCAGCTCAGCACGGAATTGGTCTGATTTTGGGCTTCTTTTTTTATCTGCTTTGTTTAAGATGTCTGGCCCGTTAGGCTCAAATAAAGGAAAACCCTGAAGAACTGAGTGGATGAACAATAATATCCTACCTTTTCATGTTGTTCTTCGTCCTTTCCACTTCTCCAACTGATCGTCGATCAATCGGAGCTGCATTTCTCTTACCTTGCCACTTTCCATTCACCTTTGGATGAAGAAAAAACTTCAGTCGAATCTTCGTCGGATTTATTGGAAAAAGTATGTTTCGCACTAAATTTTTTTTTTGGGTTTCGAACTATCAAATCGATAAGTGATTTCTTGATGTTAGAGTGCAAGATCAGTTGAAGAATAAATTGATAGCGAACGATGTCATCCCATGGAAGTTATCTTCATTGATTGAAATATCTCAGCGATGGAGATGATTAAGTACATTAGAGGTGTGAACATGAGTTTTTACAAGAAAGACTCTTCCGTGGCACGTGTTTGTCTCTTAGATGTCCATGTTTTTTTTTTTTTTGCCTTTTGTGAGTTCCTCTTCTCCTTCTCTGTGTCTGATATAGTGTTGTACTATTTTCATTTGCTTAGTCAAGTATTTCAGAATCTAAAAATTGGACTTTTCGTGTTAAAATCTCATGTTTTTTTTGCAGATTCTACAAAAAGGAGGGATGATAAGCATCTGTTCCGTACTTAGCTTTCGTCTTACAGTTGACTAATCTTAAACCATGCTTTTGTTATTATTTCTTAAAGTCTCTAGCTTTGCTTTTGTTAAATTCAAAGGTATTGATGGTTTCTGGAAATAAAATACATCATGCAAGAGATATAAAAAGCAAAAAAATTATTTTTTTACCTTAGTTTATTATGTCTCCTGGATCTCAAGATTTATAATGTATGACGCGAGATTATTTAACTGGTCACTCCACCACCATATCTAATAGCTGGAGTAGAAAAGGATATTGGGAGATTATACATCTAATTATGGTGGCGTTCTATGTTTTACATCTCAACATCTCGAGAAATATATATTCACTGAAACGTATTGTTGGCATGTTTATTTTCTTATATGGTTCAGGTGTACTGTAATTAGCTCTGAATTTCTATAAAATCCTTAAGAGGGTGTTATTGGTTTGTATATTTTAATGGATTTGAAAATACAAATAAAATCTAGTTGGTATAATTTCAGTTGAACTTTTAAATCTGGAGTACAATATTACACTAAAACAACTAACTTGTCACACTCAATTTTGTTAAACACAGATCAATTTTTAAAAAAAATAAACTTCTAATATTATTTCAAAAGTCTTGACTCTTGAGTCAATACAAGAGTAAATTTATTTTTGAAACATAAAGAATGCATTATTTGTTTCCAAATTTATGACAAAAATAAATAAATGTGTAACTCTAAAGGAAAGCAAGATAATCATTTACAAGTCGATGATTACTATCACTGACCAAATACATGCATTCAAGGTAACATTAATATTTAGCCCCTTAATATATATTTAGGTTTTTGTTAACATCTACAAATAGGAAGCCAATATGCACATTAAGTTCAATCCAGCCCAGTCCACGAATTTACAGAACAATGGCTTTCTCTAATAAGCCTCATTGCATATTGATGTTTATGATCTCATTTTTCATTCTTAGTCTTTTTGTTTCAGCGTTAGATGTCTCAGATGCTGTGGCAGAAGCACCAGCACCAGGATCAGGCAGTGACGGCTTCTTACCTCTAGCAAAGAAGCATGTTGTAATCCACAACGTTGTAAAGAACAAGCAAACTGTGGATGTACATTGCAAATCTAGTGAGGATGACTTGGGGTTGATCCATCTCCCTTGGAATCAAACCTGGGGTTTCCGATTTCGTGTTAACATTTGGGAAACTACAAAGTTTGTTTGCAATTTTACGTGGTATGGAGGCGGATCCCACAATTTTGATATATTTAATGTATGGAGGGACGATAGTGAATTTGGGAAGTTTCCCGTATGTAGTGAATGTCTTTGGCAGGTGAGAAGTAGCGATGGAAACGAAGCTATGTGTCGTATTACTGGAGATTCAGATCCTTATTGTTTCCCATGGGACAAATAATGAAAAAAAAGGGTTGATGTTATACTACTAGGATTCGGACCCCTGCAATTCGCGGGAAAAACAATATTAAATTATAAATTTAATTTAAAATAATTATATATAAAATTATTTGAAAATAAAAATGATGAAAATATTTTTTTTTGTAATTTTTCACTTTAGTTAGAGACATTTTAATTCTTATTTATTTTTATTTTAATCAATTTTTAATCAATAATTTTTTTACTTAAAGATTCTATATTCTTTCAAATTTGAAACATCAACCCAAATATCTTAATCTCTAAACTTCTACCTTATTCATAAAAATCATACTTTTTTCTTTTTATGAAAATATACCCATTTATTTTCAAAAAAATACCCATCTTTTGAAAAATTATTTTATACTTTTGGAAAAAAAATAATATAGTAAAATGGAATATTTTGAAAAATCAAGTACAGTAAAACATTGAAACTAAATAACTCATAAAAACAACATTAAGTAAAATAATATAAACTATAAAGCTAAAAATAAAAAAATATTACAATTTAAAAATAATCTAGTGCCCTTATGGTGAGACACCTAGCTAGTATAAAACTTTTTGGAAGGAAAAAGATGATAATATGTTTAATATATGAACTATTTTTGAATTTTATGCTAAAATAATTGAAAAATACAAATAGACTAAGTGAAAAATACTCCTTATGTTATATAGAGTTAAATAAAGAAAATAATAATGTATTCATAACTAAAATTGAGTTATTCTTAGGTTCACCATCCAATAGAATTGCATTATTTCATATTTGATATCTTTTAAAAAAGGAAAAAAAAATCTTGTTAAGTTATATTATGTTTTTAAAAATAAAAATACAAAAAAAATAATTAATAAAAATAATTAATAGTTGTTTTAAAGAAAATATTTTAACACTAAATCATGAACTCTAATCCTAAACCCTAAACCTCTAGGTAAATCATAAACCTTTGAATAATTTTTATAAAAAATTCTTAAAAAAAAATATTTTAACACTAAACCCTAAACTCTAATCCTACACCCTAAACCCTTGGATAAATTATAAACCCTAAACCCTAAACTCTAATCCTAAACCCTAAACCCTTGAGTAAATCATAAACACTAAACCCTAAACTCTAATACTAAACCCTAAACCTTTGGGGGAAATCATAAACATATTTTTTTTAGGGTTTAGTGTTATGATATTTTCTTTAAAAATAATTTTTTTTTTATTAATTCTTATTATTTTTGTATTTTTATTTTAAAAACATAATATAACTTAATAAGATTTTGTTTCCTTTTTAAAAAGATATCAAATCGGAAATAATACAATCTTAGTGGATGGTGAACCTAGAGGTTCACCTTAGGGGGTGAACCCAAGAATTAGTCTATTCTTAATACATGAAAATAAAAAATTTTAAAAACATGTATTTTCGAAAAGGACGGCATATATTTTTAATGCAATGTTTTGGAAATGAATATTTTTTATAATTTTGTTCTTTTTTTTTGGAGTATTGAAACTATATTTTTCCTCTCCTTTTTTTCACTGTTTATAAATGTTGCATTTTGTATATAGACCAAAGGGTCTGGAAATAAATTTTAAAGTTTACAATGGTTTACAAAATTAGAATGGTTAATTATCAAATATTGCAAGGGTTCACATTAAGAAAAATATAGTATAACATTAAAACAATTGAAAGTGTTTATCTAAGCAATTGCAATGATACATTTAAGGCAACTCCAAAAGTTCATCTAAATAAATATACTTATACATGTTGACTTAATTAATTTGTTTTCAAAAAATAATTCAGTTGAAACTTAAAAAAACAATTATACAGTCTCCAAAAACCTTCCATCTTGTCCGCATATATATGTTGTTTCTGGTCCAAACATATTTTGTTGAAAACTGAAAGTTAGTCATATCAATATAGTTCCAAGGTTATTTTGAAATTCTCTAATACTTTCAAATATTTGGAAATAATAATAAAAATTATGTGTAAAAATTTCAAATGAAGAGTATTTTGAAGGTAGTGTGTAAATGATATTATGTTATACAAACTGAATATATAGAATATTAAAGATAAGAGAATTAAAATGCCACCTTTATTTTAAGAAGTGGTTACAAAATATATATGAAATTATAAGAAAAATCACATTTTAAAAGGTGCTTATTTAAATGATATGATTACAAAAGGCATTATGATAAAACACATACATGCGAAAAGTATTTGTTGATGTTTTATATTAATGAAAATAATACTTGTATTGTGGTGCAATGATTTGAAGCATTATAAATATCAAACTCGCATCGACATTTGATTTTGTGGTCTCTCCACTAATTCTTCTGAGTACAACGGATGCAATGACAGANAATGTCCACCGGAATAATATTTGACCGGGTTAGGATGTTGAGGAAACACAGAGAAGAGAAGTCCAAAGATAGACAAAAGGCAAATTAGAGAAAAGAGATTTGGATGTTGAGGAAATATACAGTCTATTCTTATAAATAAGGTTGTGAAAGGAGATGACTCTTTACGGAGATATGACGGTTCTGCAAATTTTACAAGCGTATCTTTGAAAAGGTATGACTCGTGAATTGAAGACAATTGAACAAAGAGATAATTTGCTCCAGCACCATAATTGGAGATTATATTAGAGAAATACCTATGATTTGACATAAAAGCAAGTTTCTATACAATTATGACTTCGTTTGATACTGAAGCCCTTCTGACACTCTTTTTCTTCTCCTCTCTTAACGAGTTTCTATACTTTTTGTTTCTTCAACATTTTTTTTATCCAAATAATTTTTATTCCTTAAAAACTGATATCAATCAAATGTTTAACCCTAAGAAGTGAATTATTCTCTCAAATAAGAGGTTCAGTTGTAGTACTTAGGGATCAAATTCACAGGGAACTAAGGAACACAATAGATGTAATCCTAAGTGATTATGCTAGGTTGATTAAGTTAAAATAGTAAATTGCAGTTTGTGAGCAATGGTAAGTTGCTCAAGAGAATATGTTTTGGTTTTAAGAAAATAAAAGAAAGTAGTTAGATTCAAGGTTGGTATTCAGATAATCAGGATTATAATGCTAAAGATGTTTTAGTGAATTGCTTGCAAGATATATAAGAACTTCGATTCTTAGACAGATCTAATAGCAGTCGCTAAATAGACTCATCCATTGATCTTACTGCCGGCAATATCGACCGATGTTTTGACAACGATATCAGACGATATGAGTTGCCATCGATCGATAACTCTATAGGAGTATCGATCGATATAGCATAAGATCGAATCAAAACTGTGTTCACCAAGATCACAGACCGGCTCTCGCACATCCCTAGAGGATCTAAGCTTATGCCAAATGATTTAAGGACGATGATTAACAAGTTAAATCACATCCATGATCATACTCTAGATAGCTACTCTAGAGTAAGCATTAAGGTTCATTTGGATAATGAATATCAACAACTCAACATTCCATAGTTGGGGCTAATCCCTTATAACTATTTGAACCTTAAATCTAACAAATAAATCTACTCAGACATAGCTAAGAGATTCATAACAGCAAGGTAATAATAGAAATTCATGAGATTAGAAGATTGAACTCTTGGTTCTTGGAACAACAAATCTCTTTGTGTGTTTCTTCTAAATCTAGAATTCTATAACCTTTGAGAATTAAGATGAAAAGAATACTCTATTGCTAAGTATAGAATAGTATCAAAAGAACAAAAGAACTTAAAAGAATTCAAAAGCATGTCTAGCAAAAACACATAGGCAAAACTAAAAATATGAGTTCCATTAGGTTAAAAACTCGTCAGGGGCATTATTATAATATTGGGAAAACTTGGGCTTCAAGTCGGCCAAGTTAGACTTGTTCTCCACGCTTAATATCGATCAATTGTACATGGTGTACATCGATCGATGGAGTATCTCGACTTCATCTTCTATGGAAGCGTCATCGATCGATGACACGGGGTGTGTATCGATCGATATGTATTCTTGTTGTCTGATCTTCATAGTCATCTCGGAAAACTCTCATTTAAGTACCATAAGGGCATCTAAATCATCACTTTACTTCAAAATGCTCCTGGACCTGAAAACATACCTAATAGACTCCAAAACATATATAAAACTTATAAAAACATATCAATACCATGGATAAAAGCGGGTCAAAATCGTGGTATATCAACTCCCTCAGACTTAACCTTTTGCTTGTCCTCAAGCAAACCATTAGTAGCCTTTTGGAAGAAGTTTAAAATCAGTAGGGACTCAATAAAATCTTAACTTTAAAATCATCACTTCTACTTTGTTGCAAGCCACATCTCATATTACTAACTACAGAAGTACATTATACCATATCATAGCTTAGCAACCAAATTCATCTAGCCAATCAACTTAAACAATCATGTCTGTCTATCCCCTCTACTGATTTCATTTATGCATAAAATAAAGGTGTAGGCTTTACCTTGGGAGTATCGATCAAATAACACTTGGATTCAACTCAAACAAGTTTCAAGCATTCTCATCCTGGTTCCTTTTCTTTCTTTATCCCCCTTCTCTGAATCCCAAACTTTCTTTTCTTTTACATCAATCCCAATGAACAACTAATGTTCATCTTATTGATCTTTCAACTTTTTATAGCTTTTTGACAAAGTGTAGGCGATTAGTGGGGTCATAGGTAATTTACCTCTCCTTCGCTTCCACAATGTGTGATCATTCCTTTGATTTAGAATAGTGGGGTCATGGGTAATGTACCTCTCCCTCTGCCTCTCAGGAAATCATCTCAATCTTTTATTTTCTCTTTCTGGGATGCCAAAGGAAGGAGAGAAGGAAACCAAAATTTTTGAGACTTTTACCTTCTAGACTTGCATGAGGATTCCGATCCCTTGTATACCAAGCCCTAAGACAAGCAATAGATGTCAGGTTAGGTTGGAAATCAGCTTTGGTTCTTCCAAACAATCATGAAAAGTGTTGTCAAAGGATGATCGGTGATCCACTTTAGCATCTATAGTAC